GTGCTCCAGCCTCTGCAGCCTGGACGAGCACCACCCGCTGCTGCGAGACCTGGGCGGCCACCGTTGCACCCACTCCCACAGCAACGCTGCCGAGCTCGCTGCCAAGATCCTGTCAGTGCTGCAGGGAGGGGAGGAGCTGCTGCTGGCCCGACTTCAGAGGGCGGGGCAGAACGCGCCCGGTGGCGGGGACTCCGGCTTCCACAGCCTGGGCGGGGGAGGGCGGGGCATCAGGCCCTGCGGGGGTCAAGACTCTCCTTGCTACTCCATGTCTTACTCTGAGACGTACCTGTCACCCGGCGAGGACGACGACACCCCCTGCAAGGACTATGAGAGCACCGTGTGCCAGGTGGAGGCGGAGGGCAATGGAGTCGAGTACCCGCCCGACTTCGACCCACGCAGGAGGGTCTCTGACGTGGCCTCGTCTGGGGTTGTGTCTCTCGATGAGGAGGATGAAGAGGAGGAGGAGAGGGCAGGAGAGCCAAACAACCAATGACTCCTCTCATCTCGCCTCAGTGTTTAATCCCTCCGAGCTCATTGGAGGGATTTGTTTTTGGCAACAACTTCCCTCTCTCCTTTATGGCGTCTGAAGAGTTCGAACCTCCGTGCATGTTTTTTTTTTTTTTTGACTGAAGCATCCGTCTTTGCCTTACTTGCAGCATTTCAAGCCCCTGCCCCCCTTTCCACCCTGTAACTGCTTTTGTCCCCCATTCGGTGTATCAAATCTATTTTCTTTGAAGGCGTCCAAACAATCTTTTTTATCAGTGTGAAAACAGGAGTGCAGGACGTGCCACAGCAGTCCAGTGACTCACCCGTGGGTATGACGCTCACAGTTTTCGGCTCCGTCTCTACCTGCAAGGCGACTCTAGAAACAGAAGCCACCAACAGGCAAACAGAATGACTGAGTCCAAAACTCTGACTTATCTTTGCATGTGTTTTGCAAGTGCTGAAATCAATGGGCTGACCCGGTCTTTAGCACGGTTTGTAATCTCAGCTGTTCTGTATAACCCCCGCCCACCTCCCCTGGGAGGGAGGGTTGACACTACACCCTGGGACCTGCCCTTACCTCTCCCTCCTCCCTCCCTGCCCCTACCTTTGCAAGAGACAAAATAGCATCCTTTTGGGCATGGCTTGCTGAGTATGCCAAACTATTTAACTCTGTCACTACCAATTATGAGCAAATGCTGGAATGTCTTCAAAGTGACAGGACATAGTATGTATTTTAACAAAGTTTAAAAAAAGATTTGTCACAAATTATATGACAGAAATGATATGCTTTTATTGTACTAGTTTTCTATCACTCAAACATGTTGTTGTTCACATTATTCCAAACATCATTATGATGGACATCTGCCATAATGATCTACGATAATGACTACTTTGGTTGTCTTAAAAAAATACACAGCAGCAGCAGCAGCGACGACAACAAACACTGAGAATGTTCCTGAAGTGACCCTTCGGTGATAGGTGTTGGGCAGGAAGTGGAGCGGGTGGAAAAGACAGAAAAGTTTTTTTCTGTGAAGAGATGAGTTGCATTGGAGATTTTCTATATTTTTGTATGCGTTGTCTTGCTTTGATCTCTTTGCCTATGCGGCGTGCCAGTGTATGTGGTTTTTTGCACGAAGCTAACGTGGCTGTAGATTTCTCCTTTTCTTCGTTATCACTGTGTGATATAGTTTAATGGGAAAAAAATAACAATACAATGTGAACAAAGTTTTTATTTTATTTTTTATTTCAAAAGAGGATACTGTGATACGGTTTGTTATTGCCATATGTCATGATCCTCGCGAAGAGCTCTCGTTTCTTTCTTTTTCCCCAAAATTTCAAAATGCTCTTCTTTCTTTCCTCTCATACTGACTCCTGAAAAGCTTTGCCTTTTATTCTATGCTTTCCCTTCTTTTCTATGATGTTTGTGAAAAGGCATGTTTATTTGACACATGCAGAAACTCCCATCTCCCTGGTGATGTGTGGAGCCCCGTTGAGGTTCTCCCAGAGGGACTGTCATTCATACAACTCAGGAAATCCCATTGGACCAGAGCATCAATGCATCCCGCCTGCACGCATAACACCACTCGTCTCTCATCCTCCGCGTGTGTGCTTGTGTGGGTGCATTTTTGTATGTGTGCGAGAGAGAAAGCCTTGTGTGCATAGTTATTTTCTACAAATAATTAAAGCACAGATTCAGCCCCCTCATCCTTCTTTACTGTTTAGATAAGCCTCAATGTGCGAGTCCGTATGTTTGGAGTTTTGTGCAAATGTGTGTGTGTGTGTGTGTGTGGCTGTATTGTAAGATGTCAGCAAGCTCCTTAAGCTTGCACGGTATATCCATTCCAAAACCCCTCCAATGCAGCGATTCCCTTTAAAGCAGTGTCTGGTGTAGCTGAGCTCTCTCGTTGGAGGTTGAACTTTTACTGGTGCTGGAGATATATATATATATTAAAAAAAAGCATACAGTACATAACATCTGAAAATGATCTTGAAAATATAGATGGATGACGTTGCTAAAAATCAGCTGACTTCTGAACTCAAAATGAAAACGAGGAGTCCCAGTCAGGAGAGTTGGAAAAGACAGCGACAACTCAGGGGGAACCATTGAAGCTGTGCCTTTCATTCGTCACCTTTGACCTCCCAAGTTGCACCATCATCATATCCTCTATGCTGTCGCTCAGGCTAGAGCTTGGCTCCCTTCCCCTTCTCCCTCCTCCCTAAATGAGCAGGAGTAAAACGCTACTAAATTCAGCTCAACAGCGGCACCACACATCCTGTTGCATCCCCTGTGTGTATTCTCCCGCTGTAGCTGGAGGTTACAGCGGGCCGATTGTCCTTTTGGTTGACATTAAAAGCCGGGCGATGCTGGCGAGGCGAGGTTGTGCTTTTGTCCTGGCGCGATGACGATAACGCGCCATTGTTCACCCCCTCTCCTCCTCTATTTATCAGTCTGTCCGCCACAGTGCATTTGCTCTCCCTGGGCACTGCATGTGTGAGATGGTGTGAGTGTGTGAGAGAAGACGGGCACCTTGGTGTGATGCGTTTTTCATTCACCCAGCTGTCTTGTTCTCTCTCTCACATGGAGTGTGTTTTTAATTGTCACTTCTGAGGACCATGACTACATTCATTTATCCAGACTTAACCTGGATCCTAACCCCATCCTGAATCTAATCTAACCCTAAATCCAAGTCCTAATCCCATTGTAGAAGTGGCACGTTGGTGGATTGCCACATCTTTCTATCCTTATAAGAACATTTAGTCCTCGAACAGAATAGAATAGAATTGGAAGACTTCCCGTTGACACACACACAGACAGCCTGATGAATGTTTACCCTCTCTATCCTTCTGTCTCTGTCCTGTCATTTCCTGACCCCTCACCGTCCTCTCCTCTCCTCCCACCCCTTTGTCTCTGTCCTTTCCTCTGCTTCCACTCTCCCCCTCCTCTCTTTCTTTCCCTCCCTCCTTCCATCCATCCGTCCCCACAGGGGGCTTATTACATAACCGAGAGGATGTCTGAGTGCTACCTTTGCCGACAGGCAATTAGCCCGCGATTATGAAACCGCCTGATGAACAGGAGATGCGTATCTCTCTCCTGTCTGTCTTTTTTTTCCACCCTTGTGTCTTTTTCCCCTTCGCTCCATGTGCGCCCTCCCTTTCTCTCTCTCTACCCCCCTCCTCACTGCCGCAAGCTCTTTCTAAGTGACATCTTTTGAGGTTAGCTGTCCCAGAAAACTCCTAGTGGTTTGTGGAAAGCAACGGATGATGAAGGGAAGTGTTTCTCGCTCTCCTCTCTGTTCGGAAGTGATTAATATTTTGTAGCCTAATAACAGAAAAGCACCCCGCTGTCCTTGAGTCAGACAGATGTCTTTAGAGTGAAACATGTTTCTTTTTGTGTGAGTGTGTGTCTTTGGGCAGTGTGTTTTAGTTTGTTGCTTCAGGCAAGCGCTGACATTGGATACCTATCAGAAAGAAGAGGTCCAAATTCTCTCTCTATGTGTGTGAGAGTGTGTGTGATAGTGGCGGGAGAACCCAGTGCTATAAAAAGACATCAAAACATCTGTCGGACAGTGTCAAGACAGGAGGGCGTATGAATATTCAGTTGGTGGTGGCACCCCTGTCACCCTATAGCCTACTTACCATTTTAGAACAAAGCTAAAGGGCCTTGGGACCTCTCTCCCCACACCACCAGCCCCCACTGGTGAATATTAGGACAAAACCTGCGAACACAACTGAGACAGAGTGTGAGAACTGCTGTAGGAACTGAATATAGAGAGTGTAATCCTCACAGAGAGGGAGAGAGATGGTCTGTGTTTAACCCACATTAGCCTCCACTGTTGTAATTAAAACATCCCACAATCCTCAGGGGGGGCGGGTGCACATAGTGACACCGGGCACTCACACACACACACACAC